ACCTTAGTCCAATCACTTGGTTCAAGATGGACGTCTTGCGTGGCAAGAACTTTTGGTGGCGCTACCGAACGATCCTGTATTTGTAATGTCAGGGTAACAGCAGTGACAGGCTTGACGATCACGAATCCATCATAGTCTCTTTCGGCTTCGAAGACCAGCCCCTCGTGCCCCAGTCCGCGGTTGGCCATACCGAACACCCCCTGGCTGCTATCCAGCTTCTTCAAGCTCATACTGGCATGTCCATTCCACTGTTCAGCTGATGGGGCTTTGACAAGCCTGGCCTGGCCTTGCACTTGGCTAGATTCATTGTACATAACCCAGCCCACGCCATCAGGACTTTGCTTGGCATTCCATTGTGCAGTGGGATCTCCAAGCTCGTAGCTAGCTGAGTAGATGAGCTGGGAATAGAGAGGTCGTGGTTGATGAGAGTACCCAATGTCCAGGTGACATCCCCGGTACATGGGGTTTATAGAATGGGTAACATTGCCCGGATCCAGGGTGACTTGCACCAGGGGTGGAGATCCGGGACAGGAGGCGAACGGCGGAAATGGGTTGGGGCGCGGGGGTGGTGGTGGTGTGCGTACAAACCCGCTGTCTCGACAGCAGTCCTGCTGGGCAGTTGCTGTAGTCCAGGCGCTCTTCAGCCAGCAGAAGGCTTTGCCCTTCGGACAGGAAGGAAAGCTGCAGTTGGGCGGCATGTAAATCCATCCAGCGCACTGCGCATTCGAGACACAGGCGTTGTAACACAGCGCCATGTCCGCGCCATCCAAGACAAACATCTTCAAATCGCCGCCAGCATGGTCCACGCACAAGGTCGAGTTGGGTGGCAGCACTGCTGACGACGACACGGGTTGTGCCCGCACACCAGTTGAATCATTGGCACTTCCACCAGGCGCCACACATCCACACACACCAGCGGCAAGCACGAGCAGCACTCTCAGAAAGAAGTCCTCCATGGCTAGCGCGGCTGAAGGAGACACACACTCGGGAAATGCGACGCCGCCAGCAAGTCGTTCTCAATGGGAGGAGCTAATTGAGCGACGTATCGCGTAGCTAAGAATCAAAATCACCAATGAATCACCTGCTGCGCAGCGCCTCGCTGATCCTGTCATCTACAAAGTACAATACATTTTTTTGATGAGCGCATTATACTAAAAGTCTTTGTGCATGCCGCTCAATGCATGAAATCCAGTCGCGAGAGTCAAGTACCGGTAGTTGGCGCCGTGCACCTTTTCGCAGCCCAGTGTTCGCAGGTCTAGGGCTGCGCAACGCCCGACGCGTACTTGAGAAACTCGCGACTGGATTTCATTGAGCAATACTGTACTGACTCACTGTACAACCATGTCCACCCGGCATGCACCGTCACAGCGACCGCCGATCATGGGTATACAAATTATCCTGTCACCTGTGTCTTGTTTTGTGTTTGCTCCACATGCCTCTTTTTAGGCCTGTGTTCCCAATAAAAAAATAAAAAATAAATCCTCTAACCGTCATCATGGATAACCTTGCGCTGCTACAGTACCTACAAAAAATATACTCGTATACAATCACACACATGACTGTACACTCATCCTCAGGGAGTCGTAAAATACCGACTCCTTGCTCATCCTCATTCTATGTTGCTTGGTTTTCAACTTATCGGGGGAATACATGTACTTGAAGTACGATACAGGTAGTGTCTTCCTCCCAGTTAGTCCTCCTGCATTCCAGTCCACGATAGCGGATAATCGTCGCCATGTCACAACACGCTGCGTGTCCTGAAAAGTAACCGTCTTCTCCAAAGAAATTACGTTTTTATTGTATATTCTTAAAGAAAATACATTTTTTATGTATATTCTTTGCAAAAGACAGTTACTTTTAAAAACCTGTCAAGGCGACCACTCGGATAAGGCGACCAACTGTCCCAGAAGACCACTGCAACACGGACCAATGGATGCTATGTCCCGGCCAGTCAAATGCCCCTGGATACGCAGACAACCTGGTTACAAAGACCACGTTTTGAATGTCCCTGGAGCGGTTGTCTTTCACTGTAAAGGCTCTCCCGCAAGCGGTTAACCAATGATATCACCGTGGCCAGGGAGCCCCCCTAAATCACAGTGGCCAGGGAGCCCCCCTAAATCACAGTGGCCAGGGAGCCCCCCTAAATCACAGTGGCCAGGGAGCCCCCCTAAATCACAGTGGCCAGGGAGCCCCCCTAAATCACAGTGGCCAGGGACACCCCCCCCCCCCCCAATCACAGTGGTCAGGGAAACTCCCCAATCACAGTGGCCAGGGACCCCCCCCCCAATCACAGTGGCCAGGGAAACTCCCCAATCACAGTGGCCAGGTAACCCCCCTAAATCACAGCTGTGTGCAGTGTAAGCCACCGTACCAGTGCGGATTTTGTGAGTAGAATCAGCGAGTAGTAAAATACCTACTCCCTGATAGAATAGTAATTATTATGATACTGTACAGATAAACCAGGCAGGCATAGTGGGATGGTCTAAGACCATGATTGAGAAACAGAGGATACCAGGTTCAAGTCCTGCTTGGAAGCGGAAGGATTTTTTCCAGCCGTGCTGCCACCCACAGTTAATTGGGAACTCGTGGCCTGGCACGAGGGAAACATGGATGCAGTGAATGGGATTTCGGTCTTTGACCACTTTGTGGTGGGTCTGATCTACTCACCTCCCACCGTTTAGGAGCTGCATCTGCGCCTTGATCCAAGAGGGTGGTGGCGTTCCTGCGGATGCGGAAAACTGGGCCTTTGGCCGAGTCTCACGCGAACCGTGAAATTTTTTTTTTTTAATTTTTTTTTGTACAGATAAAGTGGTAAGCAGCATCATTCGGCCCTGTACTGTAGGTTGGATAGAGGTCGAAGTCAGCTGGAGGGCGCAGCTATGGTGTGGTGGTTGAAGAAAAATCTGATACTGAGCAGGGAAAAAGAACGGCAGTAGTAAAAATTTGCAAGTGCAGTTCATGTAAAAGTGTCAACGCCGTGAAGGCCCGCATTAGTCACAACCATCGCCAGCACCTGCCATGCCAGTTCTGGTGGCTCTGAGAAACCTTGGCAACGTGAATTCACCATGGCTACGTGAGTTCACCCTGGCTATGACCACCATCCTAATCATCCTACACAGTGGGTTATCATGGGTTTATTGTAACAGAAATATCAGAACTAGAATAAAAAACCCATCTGATGGGTTTTGGGGGGAAAACACCACAACTCCAAAATAATGAGTCTGCCCAAAATTTGATAGAGAACGCTATTTTAGTTTTGAGACGAAGCAAGCAAGCAAGCAGATTCTATGTGTCTAGGTTCTCAGCATACGTGGATGGGGGTAGGCCCCGGCGGATAATGCTAGCATTATGTCTAGCATATCTAGCACTTTCTGGAAACTAGCATTGCGCTAGCACAACCTGGCAAGTTTTGCAGCATATTCTTGCGAAAACTAGCATATTATTGCAATATATGGGATTTTCGTGAGAATTCACAACGCCCTCGCAACTACTACTGCGCCTTTGCATGCTGAGTAATAATAATTCTGAACTTCTGTTGTATTTTTCTATTTCGCAGAACATGACTTATGTGGCAAAACACATGTATGCTGTTATCAATCTGCAACATTAGTAAACTATACCACTATTTCCATTTTTCCGAAGCAGAATTCAAGCATTGTCAGTGCTATCTTGGAGCAGAATGCGAGCATACTGAAAAGCAGAATCCGTCAAATTCTCGAGCATTATCCGCCGGGGCCGCCTAGCTAGGGGGGTACTGGTGCTGGTCTGCAGTACATGCCATCAGCCTTGCAGGCCGCTGTTGAATTGTGTAACCCGAGCACATGTTGCTATGTCTAAACATAGCCTGTTCGCGATCATCGGATTCATCGCTTCAGCGATGGACAGAAGTAAGCACAAGCGTAAGTGTGCTGCATTGCCGTCCAGGACAAAACTGTGCATTATAAATTTACAACTCCTGAATGAAACTATGTCCACCGTACCAGAAAGAAGAAAAGCACTAGTGTTATTCGGTGCGTGGTAGACGCACTCCCCTGGATTTCAGCAGAACCCGATAGTTTACAGCTGCCAGCACTCCTCCAAGAAATGGGCCAACGTGAAATATCCACTGGTACCTCCAGTAGGTATCGTAGTACGATGGGTCTCCGGGTTCCCAACTCTCGTCTGCAGTGGTGGCCGTGTTTGGTTGGTGCGTGCGCCGGGGGAGCCACATTGATATGAACATACGCATATACACACACACACAAAACACATACACACACACATACACACACAAACATACACACACACACACACACACACACACACACACACACACACACACACACACAAAATGGTTGCGAGACCCATGCTAAGTGCAGCTGTGCTGCATCTACCGCCTTGTAATGCTGCGTGTTAGCGGCTGTCATGAGTTCCCTCGGGAACCGAGACGAAAATGTAGTTGTGAGTGAAAACATAAAAAATTCACGGTTCGCGTGAGACTCGGCCAAACGCCGAGTTTTCCGAATCCGCAGGAACGCCACCACCCTCTTGGATCAAGGCGCAGATGCAGCTCCTAAGCGGTGGGAGGTGAGTAGATCAGACCCACCACAAAGTGGTCAAAAAACGAAAATCCCATTCACTGCATCCATGAGAGTCTACAGTACGTAATTAATTATAAAAAATACCGTATTTTCTCTAATAAAAGCCCAGGTCTCTGATAATAGCCCAGTCTCCAATAAAGACCCGGGGTGAGGGTGGTTTGAAATAATAAGAGCACAGTATCTGATAGTAGCGCGGGTCACAATTGGTGTATGCCGGCAACAAGTATATTGACTGCATTTAAAACAGCAGTACAACATGCCAAGAACTTATTTGTAAGGAGGTTTTCGGTCGACTGCTTCCTTCCTGGCACCAATGCCATTGTGAAGCATCTGGTTTGACAATATTCCTGAGTTTAGGGTTTAAAAATCAGTCTTGATAGGGTCAGTTTATGCCTATATAGACGGGAGTTGGCTTGATAC